CTCTACCCAGGGGGATAGCTTGAGGCTCCATCTCAAAAAAAAAAAAAAAAAAAGAGATAACACATGAGTCCTGAGAAAAGAGAAACACAGAAATAATAATCATCACAGTATATGGCACACCTTTGAGGGGAGGAACACAAGTATAAGAGGAACTTTATCTAACAAATGCAATCAGTGTAACCTAATTCTTTGTACCCTCAATGAATCCCAAACAATAATTTATATTTACTTACTTATATAAAAGAAATAATAGTAAATGTGTTAAGTATGATGATTGATCTGTACAAAGGGTATTATGAAAGCACAAAGCTGGGGTACCAAACCCATACTAAGAGAAAGAAGGAAAGAAGGCACCCCTGGAAGAGGTGGGCCTAAACTGAGGCCATAAATGGGCTAATCAAGTGAAAATGACCTATCTAATTAGTTGAAGCAGAAAGCAGAGAAAGAAATTGAGGAGAAGATTCCAAGAAAATGGTAAAACAAGGGTAAATACACAAAGAAGAAATAGAACAGTGCATGTGAAGCAGTTCAGTGTGGCTGGAACTTCAAGTATGAGGCAGAGAAGAGACTGGAGATACAGACAGGATTCAGATGAGGCAAAGCCCTCAGTGACTAGCTGAGAAGCTCAAATTTTAAAAATCCCAGTGGATTTTGAAAATCAATAAACAATAAATGTTTGCAGAATGAATGAGAGAAAAGAACAAGTGACAGACAGATCTTCAAAGATTAAACAAGAATTTACCAGATTTGTTTCTAAAGACTATTGAAAGGGTAAAGGGTTGTGTGAACAGATCTGTGGGTAAAAAGACTAGAGGAAGGAAAACCAGTCAGAAGACTGTCGTATTTCAGGTGAGAGATGATGACTAAAGTTGGACAACACAGAAGACAGCACAGATTTGAGGAATATTCAGGGAATAAAATTATCAGGACTTTGTGACAGATGTGATAAGAATTTCAGGGATGCTGAATTCGATTTCAGATATCTAAATATAAGTGTCTGTGGGATTTGCAGGCAGAGCTGTCCCCAGGATAGGAAGAGATGAGGGTGAAGCTCAGAAAAGAGATCTAAGATGACAACTTCGATTTGGGAGCCACATGCAAGGTAGTTAAAACCAAGCCAGTTGATGTGCTCTATACTCACTCAAGCAGTTTGTATAGAACGAAAAGAGCAGTGTACTACCGTCACAAGCAATGAAAACATCCAACATTTAGAAGAGGAGAAAAATAAGTATACATAGGAGAAATGACTGAAAGGCACATGGAGAAACAGCTAGAATATAAGCTCTTCAAAATACTTTATCTGCCTTATTCATCCCTGTGTCATAATAAATGTCTGCTGAATAAACCAGAGTAAGAATTATGATCAAGTTTCAAGGCAGCAAAGGGATCCAGTAACGATTTAAAAATGTCTACCATGTTTACTAATCAATTACTGTTGACCTCAGGATGAAACTTCAGGGAAATGATGGGTGCAAAAACTAGACCACAGAGGGATTGGGAGATGGGGAAATGGAGACAGAATTTAGAATACTCTTTAACAAACAGTTTGAATAAGAAGGGGAAGAAATTTACTGGACAACAGAGAAATGAAGATGGATCACAAAAGATTCTTTCTGTGGAGTATGAGGGGGCAAATAACTATACACAGGAGAAATGACTGAGAGGCAACTGGAGAAACAGCTAGAATGTAAGCTCTTTAAAACACTTTATCTGTCTTCTTCATCTCTGTGTCACAAGAGCTCTGAGACACCTGACCTTGTTTATACATGACTGGAACACAGACAGTGAAGGATAGAAATGACAAATGAAAACAAGTTCTCTCCCAGCTACTCCACATGTTGAGGCTGTGAGGCCCTAAGATCACCTGAGACCAGAAGTACAAAGTTTCAGCCAGCTAACTGTGCCACTCCACTACAGCCTGGGTGACAAAGAGACCCCAACTTTAAAAAAAGGAAAGAAAACAAGGTGTCAAAAACGAAAGTATAAAAGATCAGAAGCAAAGATAAAACGATTTGCTTTGATCAGACAAGCACTGTCCTCTGGGACTAAAGGGAAAGATGTGTGTAAATTTAGATGACTTTGTAAGAAGGGAAAACACAGGCAGAAATTCAAGAGAAAGCAGGTCTAATGACCTTAATTTTCTCCATAAAATAACAGGCGCCAAAGGGTGAGCCGTTTGGAAGCTTAATGAACAGTTGAAGAAAATCAATATGGAATAAGTGAACATGGAGGCGTCTAAAGATGGACTGTTCGAATTCGTATCTTGGGGGAAAGTTTGCATCTTCCGGCACTCCTATAAGGCCTGTTGAAGACCCTGTGACGATTCTCAGTGGAAGATGTCCTTCCCGACAAGCTAAGCTGCCTTGTTGGTTTGGACAACGCCCACTTACTAATTTATCTTTTTTCTGCTTGCTCTGCGACCAAACTAGGTAGAGGTGCCAAGGGCATCCGTGAACAAACGTGAAATGGGGTAGACGCCAACATAAGCCCCCGGCTGAAACAGCCCACAGGATCAGGAGGCAAGGATGGAGTGACGTAAGACCAGAAATAAGCCGTGAGAGGGTCATTCAAAGCATATGGTTCAAGAGTAGTTGTATTCCCGGCCTAACTCCCGCACTCGCGGCCGTCAGGGATGGGAGACTCGCTGACAACAGCCTTACCTCAACACGGCGGAGACCGACAAGTTCAGGTTACTACGTCAGTGCCTCGCCGCTTCCGGCGCTGCAGGATGACGTTGGAGAGCCGGGAACGAGCGCCGCAGCGCCTCTCCGAGGATTGGCTAAAAAGGTCTCGGCCGATGCCCAGATCGAAAGACTGGTCCGGGTTGGACATTCCCTGGTCCAGGTGAGGTTCCTGGCGTTTATCCCGGTGGGCACCCGCTCTCTTAGTATCTCCCTTCCTTGGGGGCCGCTCGCCTGTCACTGCCTCTCAGCCTCTGAATTCAGCTATATTTCAGTAGACATTGCTGTCTACTAGGGTGGCCGTTTTCAGGAGGCCGTGTGGCCTCTTGACTCTCCCTTCTTAAGGTAATGCTCACAATCTTTACGGCCATCTTTCCCGCTTCAGGCTGTACCTAATGTGTAGCATTGCCCTCCCTTTCTAAACTATAATCTGCTTTCTCTCTTCTGGAAGGAGAAAAAACTGGAGAGGCGAGAGGCAAGAGAAACCTGCTATGATTCTTTTACTGCTGTCTTCACTAAATGAACTGAAAAGCAATCAGGGAGGGGAAAAATTGAATGCGATGTGTGAAATGATTTATATAGCAATTCCAAGTCGCTCTCTAGGAATCATAAAAGCGTTTTGGCAGATGGGAGAATTTCTATCTCAGGGGCGAAGTTATAGTTTATGATCGTCAAACGCAATAAACTGACAAAGATTCTTTGTTTGGCTTAGGCTTCTGAATCTACTACACTCTCCTGTGCGCTTCTTTGTAAAATCCAGTTTTAGCAAAGAGTTCTGCTAGGTGAGTTTTATCAAGAATCCCCACCACCTCCCCATTCTGATATCCTGTCCTCCTACATACCTGATAAGATTCTCATCGTCCACCTTCCCACAGGTGATAATCTGAATTAACCTAGCCTGTCTTCAACAAGAATCCTACTAAGTTGGTTTACCTAGAATCTCTATCATCCCTTATGTTTCCTCTTAGTAATTTCCCATCCCCTGATCCCCCCCTATTTATTTCTTAGCTATAAATTCCCACTTTTCCATACTGTTGTTCAGAGTTGGGCCCAGTCTCTCTCCCCTACTTCAATACCTGTTGCGATGGTCTTTATACTCATCAAGAAGATCCTGAATAAAGTCTTCCTTGCCATGCTTTAACAAGGATCATTAAATAATTTTGTCTTTAGCCAGGTGTGATGGCTCATGCCTGTATACCTAGCACTCTGGGAGGCCGAGGCAGGTGGATTGCTTCAGCTCAGGAGTCTGAGATCAGCCTTAGCAAGAGTGATACCTCTCCCTACTAAAAATAGAAAAATTACCTGAGCTTTGTGGTCGGCACCTGTAGTTCCAGCTACTCGAGAGGCTAAGGCAAAAGGATCGCTTTAGCCCAAGAGTTTGAGGTTTCTGTAAGCTATGACGTCATGGCACTCTAGCCTATGCAACAGAGTGAAACTTTGCCTCAGAAAAATATATAAATAGGGTGGTGCCTGTGGCTGAAAGGAGTAGGGCACCAGCCCCATATGCCAGAGGTGGCAGGTTCAAACCCAGCCCCGGCCAAAATAAAAATATATATATATATAAATAAATTGGGCAGCACCTGTGGCGCACTGGGTAGGGCGCCAGCCCCATATACTGAGGGTGGCAGGTTCAAACCCAGCCCTGGCCAAACTGCAACAAAAAAAAATAGCCTCCCATTGTGGCAGGTGCCTGTAGTCCCAGCTACTCTGGAGGCTGAGGCAAAAGAATCGCCTAATCCTCGGAATTGGAGGTTGATGTGAGCAGTTACGCCATGGCACTCGGTATACCATGGCGGGCAATAAAATGAGATTCTGTCTCTACAGAAAAAAAAATAAGTAAAATAACAATTTTGTTTTTAACAAAACTGAATCCTATGGTGGAGTTACATTTTTTCTTTACTTTTTTCTAGTGTATCAAAGTTTTTTGGTTTTCTTTTGTTTTTAGTCAAATTCTTGATCAACAGGAAGTATAGTTTCCCTTCATAGAAAAGCAGAAACTCAATGTTATGATGGAGATATCAGAGCTATCAAGACAAAGAGTAGGAGGGTCTTCCAGAAAACACAGAAGACAAACATGCTTTTGTTAGCAGAGAGGATGCATGTTTATATTAGGTTCATCCCAGGAAGTAGGAAAACAGGCAGCATCTCAGCAGCTACACAGGCTTGTGGCTGAGGAATGTGGTTCATGCTGCTCAAGATAAAAAGCAGCAGCTCTGGTGACCTAACCAGTTTGATTGTTCTCCTAGAATTAAGCATCTCTTAACCTCTGCCTCTACCTAACCTGCTTTTGTGTTTCTTGCATCCAAAAAATATGACCGCATCATTTCAACTGGATTATTCACCGCATAATGGGCAGAATCTCCATGCCTAGCCCATTATTGTCCAGAAAAGCAAAATCACATGGTACCATGCACAGTTAAGGGTATGATATGCACTTAAGACTCACAAATTTGGTGGTGCCTTTGGCTCAAAGGAGTAGGGCGCCAGCCCCATATGCTGGTGGTGGCAGGTTCAAACCCAGCCCTGGCCAAAAACTGCAAAATAAATAAATAAATAAACTATCATTACAAAAAAAAAAAAAGACTCACAAATTTCACATTGTGCAACTAATGACCAGAATTTTTTTATCTTGCAAAACGGAAACTGGACCATTTAAACAACTCCCCATTTTCCCCTCCCCCATCCCCTGGCAACTACTATTCTACTTTTGGTTTCTGTGAGTTTGATCACTCTCGATAACTCATGTACATGTAAGTAAAATCATACAGTATTTGTCTTTTTGTGGCTTATTTCACTTATAAAGTCCTGAAGTTTCATCCATGTCGTATCATGTGTCGGAACATTCTTCTTGAGTCTGAGTAACACTCCATTGCATGTATACACCACACTTTATCCATTCATCCATCCACAGATATTTAGGTTGATACCACTTTTTGGCTAGTGTGAATAATGCTGCTATGAACATGGGTACATAAATATCTCTTCAAGATTCTGCTACCAATTATTTTGGATATATACACAGAAATGGCATTGCTAGAATCATACAGTAATTCTATTATTTATTCATTCATATATTTACCTATCAATTTATTTGTTTTGAGATAGAGTCTCACTCAGTTGCCCTGGTAGAGTGCAATGGTGTAATCATAGCTCACAGCAACTTCAAACTCTTAGGTTCAAGGAATCCTCTTGCCTCAGCCTACCAAGTAGCTAGGGCTATAGGTACCTGCCATGACACCCAGCGGATTTTTCTATTTTTAATAGAGATGGGTCTTGCTCTTGCTCAGGTTGATCTAGAACTTCAGCATTCAGACAATCCACCCCCCAATAGCTAGGACTACAGGCACCTGCCATGACACCCAGCAAATTTTTCTACTTTTAGTAATGATGGGTTTTGCTCTTGCTCAGGTTGGTCTAGAACAGTGGTTCTCAACCTTCCTAATGCCACAACCCTTTAATACACTTCTTGTGGGTTGAGACCCACAGGTTGAGAACCACTGGTCTGGAACTTCAGAGCTCAGGCAGTCCACCTCCTTTGGATTCCCAGAGTGCTAAGATTACAGGTCTGAACCACTACTCCCAGCCTCTATCTTTAACATCTTTGAAGAAGTGCTATATTTTCTTTTCTTTTCTTTTTTTAAATAAAGAGTCTCACTTTGTTGCCCTCAGTAAAGTGCCGTGGCATCACAGCTCACAGGAACCTCCAGCTCTTGGGCGTAGGCGATTCTCTTGCCTCAGTCTCCCAAGTAGTTGGGACTACAGATTCTCTTGCCTCAGCCTCCTGAGTAGCTGGGACTACAGGCGCCTGCCACAATACCCGGCTATTTTGTTGTTGCAGTTTTGCCGGGGCTGGGTTTGAACCCTCCATATATGGGGCCAGCACCCTACTCACTGAGCCACAGGTGCTGCCCTATATTTTCCTACTTATATTCCTACTAATAGTGCACAGGGTTCCAATTTTCCCACACCCTTGCCAAACCTTGTTACTTTGGGGTTTTTTGACAGCAGCCATCCTAACGGGTGTGAGGTGGTATTTCGTTGTGGTCTTGCCCATCATCCTTTTGCAGGCACCATTCCAATTTTAGTGTATGTGCTGCTGAAGCGAGTACATTCATTCTGGTTTTGATTTGTATTTCCCTAATGATTAGTGATGTTGATCTTTCTATATGCTTCTTGTCCATTCATATGTTTCTTTTGGAGAAATGTCTATTCAAGTCCTTTGCCCATTTTTTAATTAGGTTGTTTCTGTTGTGTTAATGGGAGTTCTTTTTACGTTCTGGATATTTATGTTCTTGTATCTTTGATCAGATACAAGATTTGCAAACACTTTTTTCCATTTTCTAGGTTGCCTTTTCACTTTGCTTTTTGGGTTTCTTTTGTTTTGTTTTTTTGGTTCTGATACTTTGTAGCCCTGGATAGAGTGCTGTGTCGTCACAGCTCACAGCAACCTCAAAGTCTCGGGCTTAAGCGATTCTTTAGCCTCAACCTCCCAAGTAGCTGGGACTACAGGCGCCCGCCACAATAGCCCAGCTATTTTTAATTGTTTGTTGTTGTTGTTTTGCTGTTGTTTTTGTTATTTTTGTTGTTGTTGTTTTTAATTGTTGTTGTTGGTTTGAACCCGCCACCTCCGGCATTGGGGCCAGCGCCCTACTCCTTTGAGCCACAGGCACTCACCTAGTATTTTTAAGAGATGAGTTCTCACCTCTGGCTCAGGCTGATCTCAAACTGTGAGCTCAGGCAGTCCACCCACCTCAGCCTTGCAGAGTGCTAG